AGTACCCTCATAAAATATTGCAGGGCCTTAAATTCACCTCTGTTTTATTCCTGGTTGTGACCAAAACACTGCTCAGCTCTCCAGGCCCAAGAGCCCATCTTGGCCTCTTTACAACAATCTTTGAAATGAGAGACAAGGAGCCCCAGGGTTGTAGAATGGCTCTGAGCTGCTCTGCTCTGTGTATCCCCACTAGTGAGAATCTCAGGGAAAGAAAGAGGTAGGAATAATGGATATCAGCAGCAGCAGCAGCAACTTCTCCTGAAGCCTCATTACCCACTAGGCACAATGAGGTGCACACTTTCTTTGCACATGACACCTACCTGGGGAGGAAGCCTGGTAGAGTATATCATTTCCACATCTCTCAGGAATAACTGTATGGCACATACATAAGAGGGTCAGGAATTCCTTAATGTATTCTGATGAGGGCTAGAAAAAGATGCAGAGATAATGAGTCTCCTAAATGCCAGCAATGTGGGAATTATACAGAATCTGCAATTTTGTACCCACTGAGGTATGGTGCCTGAGGTTTAAACCTCAGGAACACACAAGCCAGGCTCCAGCCAAGAAACTTATCATGGATTCAAAAAGTGTTTGTGGGTGGCTACCAAGTCAGGGACAGTAGAGGAGGCTAGGGAGACATCAGAACGGCCCTGCCCTCTTAGAGCTTCTGTCCTCCTGGGGGAGATAGAATTTCTCGAAGCTGGAGGGAAAAAAACAGGGCTTGTGACAGAAAAAGAGGAGTCTATTTCAGATAGGTGGCCAGGGAATCTAAGGAGACAGTTAAATTAATATCCAAACAAAAAAGGTTTATTCACTGTTTGTAGAGTTGTCACTTGTGGTGGCCTGTACCTGACATAGGACACAGCAAGTTCAGAGGACCTGAAGCAGAAAGCAGCTTTGTGTGATTGTGGTGCCTCTAGACAAGTGTGACCTTTAGCAGCTTGAGCAAAAGACGGTGCCAAAAAATGAGGTTGGAGAGAAGACCACGGTTATGAGTTTGGATTTTATCCTTAGTGCAGTGCCAGTACTCAGAGGGTATTTAAGCAAAGAACAAACAGGTATGGATGTATGCTTTAAAAGATCACTTTGTTTATAGAAGATCAAGATTTCAAATCTAGTATATCAGTATGTTGGAATAATGAAGATATTGATGGCATGCAATACAATGAAGATAGTTGAAAAATAGATAACTACATAGTAAAAGGTTTTGTATGATGTTTAAATGCACACACAATAAAGTCAGTGTTTAGCTCATTATATTGGTGCAAAAAATTCCTTTGCACCAGAAATTCTTGGTTGGTGGATCATTTTTTTCCAAGACTTTCTTCTACTGGGTTCAGAAAATTATATTTCTTTTAGGAAATTACATGTAAGTTTTAAAGTTATACAGCATTATCATGTCCATTTTGAAGGGAAAATAGCAGACTTACATGACCATCCTCAAAGTTCTCCAATAATTTAGGGTCATTAAATTCACAGAAAGATGCTCGACTATGAGGAAGAATACAGAAGATTACTTTTGACCAGGAGTCCCTAATGGCACCAGCCAATACTCAAAAGGAGAAGGATCCACACAGAGTCTATAGAGCTGTAGTAAATATCTAATTCAGTAAAATGATACATCTTCCCAGACATCAAGTGCAAAATGGCATTAGAAATACCTACACTTGTACTGAAAACTGTATGCAAGTTGAGCATCCCTAATTAAAAAATCTATAATCTGAAATTCTATAAAATCCAAAATTTTTTGACAACCAATGTGATAAAACAAATGGAAAATTCCAAACCATGAAACCTTTCTTCATGAACAAAATTATCAAAAATATTGCACAAAAATTACAATTAAGCCTGTCATGGTGGCACACACCTGTAATGCCAGCAATTTAGGTGGCTGAGGCAGGAGGATTGCAACTTTGAGGCCAGCTTCAACAATTTAGTGAGGCCTGAAGCAATTATGCAAGAACCTGTCTCAAAATAAAAAATAAAAAGGGCTTGTGATGTAGCTCAGTGTTTAAGTGCCCCTGGGTTAAATCCCCAGTACTGGAAAAAATATATATAGTTAAGAGGATTAATTTCTAGTGTTTTATTTCCATAGTAGGATGACAATAGCTAACAATCATTTATTGTATATTTCAAAATAGCTAAAAGAATATTTTGAACATTCTGAGCACACATCCACAAAATAAATGAAATGATGGTTATATAAATTACTTTGATTTGATCAATGTACATTGTACACAGGTATGAAAATATCACACTATACCCCATAAACATGTATAATTATTATGTGTCAATTGAAATCTAAAAATCTGTACAAAATCACCTTCAGGCTATGTGTATTAAGTTGTATATAGATATCTCATTACATATACTCAAATATTGAAAAACATTCAAAATCCCAAACATTCCTGGTCCCAAGCATTTCAGGAAAGGGATACTCAATCTGTTAGTTAAAAATAATTTGAATCAAAGTAACTTCAAAAGCAGTAAATTAAAGGATAAATTCTAAGTTTTCTGAATATGATATGGGAGAGATCTACCCAGGGAGCTTTCTGGAAGCTGCGATTTGAGGTCTGGACAAGGGGAAGGTGATACAAATCAATACTCTAGTATTCATAAAAGTTGACTTCAGGGAAAAGGAACAAAGGCAAAGTAGGAAAGAAAAATGTTCATACCTGAGGTTTTCGTTACCATCGTCAGTATTGTCTGAATGATTTTTAAGAGAAAATGAAGGAAGAAATACACATGTTACAAGATTATCAATATAAAACTCTTCAAAACTTCCAATCATGTATAAAAGCAAATATAAACCATATTTTTAAACAACCACAAGCTTTCATTCAGGCTCTATTAAGTTTCAATATCATTCAGATACAACTATACTATTAGAAATTCAGATAAGTCTTAGAATAAATAAAAGCTAACTCATTTTAAGAAATAAATGATAGGAAGAAAATAGTGGGTAACAGCCTCCTGCATAATTCATGCCCCCTGCTTGGATATACACAATGGAATATTACTCAGCATTAAAAGAGAATAAAAGCATGGCATTTGCAAATAAATGGATGGAGCTGGAGAAGATCATGCTAAGTGAAGTAAGCCAATCTCAAAAAACCAAAGGCCAAATGTTTTCTCCAATAAGTGTGTGCTGATCCATTAATGGGGGTAGGGAGGGAGCATGGGAGGAAAGGAGGAACTTTGATTAGGGCAAAGGGGAGGGAGGGGAAGGGGGAGGATATGGCGTAGGAAAGATAGTGGAATGAGATGGACATCATTACCCTAGGTAACATGTATGAAGACATGAATGGTGTGACTCTACTTTGTATACAACCAGAGATATGAAAAACTGTGCTCCACTTGTGTACTATGAATCCAAATGCATTCTGCTGTCATGTATAACAAATTAGAACAAATAAATTAAAAAATTAAAAAAATAGTTGTTGAGCTGCTGGAAGATGAATTGGATCCCGAAAAAGAGAAAATGGTCAGCAGGAGTGGAGGAATATTGTGAGTTTTTGTTTGTTTTGTTATTTGTTTCTGTTTTGGGTTTTTTTGTGGTTTTCCTGTTTGTTTTAGAAAAATTACAGTTTTTTGGTTTTTTTAAGTGGAGTATTCTACAACAATTCAGGGCATGCCTGGCTGCTTAGTGGGGGAGGGGAAACCCCTTTTCAGGGTGCTGAAGGCAAAATGGCAGAGGGAGGGAGGGGACCATACAGATCACAAGAATTTTTTACATCACCGTCATATAGATACGCTGTTTGAACACAAAGGAGATTTAAATGCAGTGCAACAAACTGGGGTGACTCAGGATCAGAGCTGCTGGAGAAAAATGAGAGAGCTGGGACCAGGATCCATCTTAAAAGGGCAAAATTCTACACAGAAGAAGAGCAGGGATCACCACACTCTTTTGTGTTATAACTTTTTCTACGCTGTTTTCAACATCTGCAAGATCCAACGTAGACTCCATGAGTCTCCATCTTTTTTTTTTTCTTTCTTTTTTTCTTCTTTCTCACTAGAAAGGTAGGTTCCCAGCCCAAAAATCAGTCCAGGAACAGGTCTGTGGAACAGCCCTACTGGGAGTTCTGACTAAGAGGCTGAATCATTGGATGGCCTGGTGCCAGACAATTCCTATCGGAGCCACATTTGCTACTCGGGCCTCTCAGGCAGACAGCAAGAGCTGCTGTCAAGCCAGGGCTGCAGGCATGCACCTGAAACCATTCATAGTGTGGGATTTTTAGAACTGCCTTCCATGGGATATCTACTACAGCTATGGAGTTTAATAGTCCAGCCCAGGCAATACACTGCAGCCAATCTCCTAGGACTGACCCTTGGAGACTCTCAGACCCATTCTAATGCCCTGTAGCAATAAAGAAAAGCAAGCTCCAATTGTAGGGGTTAACAAGGTCTTATCAGCAAGTGAGCACACCTGCTGAGATTCACAGACTCTCTGGGTCACCCAAGGTCCCATCTTTTCTCCAGTTGATGGCAGGGGGCTCCCATTTAAACTGGGCAGGTGGATCTTTCAGACCAGCAGAACCACTAGCACCAAAAAAGAGAAGGAATAGTTATATTTCAGTTAGTCCCTGGGACAAGGTGTTTACTCAGAACACAAACTGCTCTTCCACCCTGGGAAAGAGCAGGCAACAAGGTTGAAGACACTCAAAAGTTTCCATCCAACAATCCTACTGACTTTTAGATGATCCATTAAAGCTCTGTAACCACATAAGCTCATACCAAAGGCAGACAAATGGACACCAGCATAGAAAAATGCAAGAACTTGAGTGCAGGGAAGCCTTTGAATCAAAAGTCTGATGTAGAAAGATCTAATAATCTAAGATCTAATAATAAACATACAGGTGAGTCTCTCTGAGGTTCCACTATAACCTTCTATGTCTACAGACAGGCCAAACCAGGAGGTCTCACTAAGAACTATCTTTATCTCAGAAACATCAGCAAGGAATAAATTTTGATTCCTTGCTGTTAGTCTTTATTAGACTGGTATCATTTTATGTATTAATTCAATGGATTCCCTGACTCTATTGGAAATTGTATTACTTAATCCATAATCTTATGCATTTTTATTGATAATGTAATAATGTGTTAATTGGACAGATCCATACTACCAGGATTTTTTTTGTTGGTTTGTTTATTTTTTGTACCAGGGTTTGAACCCAGGGGCACTTAACCACTGTGCTACATCCCCAGCCCTTTTTAATTTTTGAGCCAGGATCTTACTAAGTTGCTTAGGGCCTCACTAAGTTGCTGAGGCTGGCATTGAACTCACCATCCTCCTGCCTTAGCTTCTGGGGTCACTGGGATTACAGGTGTGAGCAACAGTGCCTGGTTGTTTTTTATTTTTAATTATACTCTACTCATTTTTTCTTTTTCTCTCCTTTCTATTACCTCTCTTGCCTACCCTCTTTCCCCACTTCTTCTTTTTCTTTTTTTAAATTTATTCTGCTGTTGTTACATGATAATTGATTGTATTTTGCTTAATTTTGGCACAAGGCCTCTGAGCTGCATCCCCAAATCCCTTTGCTTTTAGTGTTGAGAAATATTCCATTCAAGGAGAGTTTTCCTAGGTAGCTGGAATGGTCCTTTGCCTTGTAATCAAACTGCCTTGGCCCTCTGGACAGCTAGGGTTCCAGAGGGGTGTCTTGACCCATGGCTTTTTTTTTTTTTTTAATTTATGTAAAATTTTGTACTAATTGGACCTATTCATTTTGTTTCTCTTCTTACTCACTTCAACATTTATCTTATACTGTCACCCTTTCTTTTCTCTCTCATTACTTCTCCATTTTTTGCTTCTATCCTTGTACTTTCCATACCTGACTTATTTTCAAATTTTGTATTTTTTTTGTTCATGTATATGAATGTATGTTATTTTTATTTTTTGAGGGTGTGTTGGGATGGGTTCTGCTTTTGGGTCAGGTTTTTCTTCTGTTGGTTTAGTTCTTTAGTTTTTCTGTTTTTGTCTTGTTTTAGTTTTTTTATTCTTTATATTTTTGAATTTACTTATTTTGTATACTGCTTTGTTCTCTATATTCTAGTTTTCCTTTTTTGTCAGGTTAACATCAGTGATTTGGGGTGTTTACTTTTTAATGGGAGGTTGCTTGTCATTATTTTTTCTGGGTAATGTATTAATTAAATTTATATAATACATTTTACATCTGTTTTCTACACTGACGGCCTCTCTTTCTTCATCTACTCACATTTTAATGTTCTGCCTTTCTTCCTTCCCCCTTCCTATTATTTTTCTCTGTTTCTCCTTTCTTTTTCCTTTTATCCAGTCCCTTTTTTTCCTCTTTCATTTTCATGCCCTATGTAGTGTAATAACAATTCCATTTATTTAATAAAATTCTTTCAACCTATTAACATACTATCCCCCATCCTCCCACTTTAGATGTAGTGGAGTTATAGAAAACTCTTTAACAAGTTTAAAGACTTAGTAGTAGATGATTTGCTCTTTTGTATTTGCAATTACAGGCAATAGTAAGCTCCCCATATGTGTGGAAAGTGATGGATCAAAATACTGAAAACATATTGACTGGATTCTTGGAACACCCAGTAAAGTGAGAGCAGTCTACTGGAGAATATTCCATTCAAGGAGAGTGGCAAATCTCAACACAGAAATACAGAAAACATGGGAAAGCAAGGAAATAAAATGCCTCCAAAAGTCTATAACCCCCAAACAACTGAATCATCATTGAAATGAATGAAATGCCAAAGAATTTTAAAATTTGGTGAATAGAATGATAAGGAAAAAGAAGATTCAAGAAATGAACTAAGGGATAATATAGTTTATCATATGGAAAATCATTTCAATAAAGACATAGATAGTCTGAAATAAGACAAATAGGTATGCTAAAAATAAAATAATAAATCAAATTAGATTAGATCATACAGGGGACAGATTTTCGGGCCTCAAAGGAAAGGTATATAATCTTTAAAATTTGGCAATAAAAGTGATAAGAGATCATGAGGAGGATATTCAGGATTAGACAGCATGAACAGATCAAATATGAGAATCACTAGCACTGAGGAAGGAAGCAAGATCTAACTAAGGGTGTGCAAAGCCTTTTCGGTGGAATAATTTCTGGAAAGATTCCAAATCTTGGAAATGACATGGCTTTGGAAACCCCAAATAGACAAAATCAAAAATAATCCTAAGACACATTATAATTAAAATGTCTAATATAAAGAACAAGAAGAGAATTTTAAAAGCTTCAAAAGGAAAACAGCATGTTTTAGTCAGCTTTTTCACTGTTTTAAGCAAAAAGCCTGACAAGAACAATTAAAGGAGCAAAAGTTTATTTGGGAGCTCACAGTTTCAGAGGTCTCAGTGCATAAATGACTAATTCCATTGCTCTGGACTCAAGGCAAGGCAAAACATCATGGTGGAAGAGTGTGGTAGAGGAAAGTGGCTCAGGATATCACACCAGGAAGACTCCACTTGCCAAGAACAAAATATATATGCTAATGTCATGCCCCCAGTGACCTACCTCCTCCACTCACACCCTACCTGTTTTCAGTTACTAATCAGTTAATCCCTAGCAGGGGATTAATTCACTGATTTGATTAACCTTCATGACTCAATCATTTCATCTCTAAACACTCTTGCATTGTCACACACATGAACTTTTGGGGGGACACCTCATATGTAAACCATAACACAGTAGGTTGCATTTAGAGGCAAACAATGGGAATTAGCACTGAT